CTTTCTACTGTTTTTGAATATCTAGACATTGTAAAATTCATGTGCAAATGACTGCCTTATTATCTGAAAACTGATATTTTTACAATTGATTATAGCATTATCTGTGAAATGTTTATTTACAAATTGACATCCTATAAATTGTGATAATTCCGTATTCTTGAATTTCTATAAGAGTTTTTCTATACATTGGCAATTATGCTACAATGTCTTTACGAACTGCTACCTTTCTAAATTTGAGCCCAAAATATTTGATTCGTTATTTTTGAAGTGTTATTGAAAGTGACTGTTATTAATGGTTTCAGTGAAATTCATATTAATGATTTCAATGATATGTTGAGTACATGATATTATTGCTTTCGAATGTTTAAAGAGATTTAAAAATACTTTAAGTATGCAAGTGGACCCATCTGGTTTGCTGGTGAGGTATCAGTGGATCTGCAGGGATTAAGTGGACTTATCTGGGATGTCGATAGGGATTAAGTGGACCCATCAGGATGCTGATGGGGTATATAGGTGACGTACTTGGGAAGCCAGTAGGGTATTTTCTGAAATCCTTTGAATTATGCAATGCCGTTAAAATGTTACATGCATTTCAATTATTCGGATTATACTTAATTATGTATTTTTTGAAAGTGAAACTGTTAATGCATTTATGTTAATAGATCTCCTTTTTTTAAATATTGATATCTTTCAATCATGATTATTTTTATGATTATGATGATCACTTACTGAGTAGCTAAACTCATCAAATTATGGTAAACATTTTTTCAGGATAATTGCGGTTTCATTTTGCGTGCTCGTCAGGATCAACTCTGGAAGATATTGTAGTTGTGCTTAAACTTTCTTTTGTTACTTTATAAGAATTCGCCACTGTAAATTTGTCCTATTAAGAGATGTATATATGTTTTGACTGTCACATCTCAGGAATATCAATATTGTAAATTCTTGGGGCACGACAATAGTTTGGGAAGTCAACATCACTTTGTTATTTTTAAAAAGATACTCATATCTTGATTATAGAGGAAAATCTTAATAGGAGGCACACACCTGTACATGATTGCGAATTGTTGTTGTTCAATCTAAATGGATGTCTAGGCTTCTTTCTATCAAAACATCATGGCTAGCATCATAATATTATTATTATTATTTAGTTAGTGGGGAGATTGTCCCCATCATTGATAGGAATTGAGCCTAAGATGTAGCATTGTAAATTGTAAAATGCTAACATTGTTTTATTTTTATTTTTATATATAGATCATATTTATATGAAAATTGAGGTATGCCACCCCTTATATGGCACACCTAACCAACATTTTTTTATATAAATAAAATTATCAAACTATGCCTATATTCTGTGAGGGTATTTTGCTCGATATTTTATAAAAGATTGTTATTGTTTTTATTATATACAACCCTACGAGAATCGTGCAGCCCCAATGTTTATATAAAATAGTCTACAAAAAATTTAAATTAAAATACTCTATAAATTATCTGATGAGGATTAGATAATCATAAGATAACTCTCGTCATTATAATTAGGAAAAGGTTAAAATAAAGCCGCTTTATATAAAACAGTAAAGCCTCACTTCAAAATTCATCGAAAAAGTTTCGGTGTCGAATTTTTTTTAAATTGATCATCTTGACCTTAATCATTATGGTTATGAAAAAAGAAGAAGATGATTTCAAACTCTAAAAACATGGTATATTATAATACATTATCTAGACAGTCCATTTTCAAGTGCCTACAAATCTATTGAGCTATAATTTTCACAATCAATGGTGGAGCTTAAAGATTTCCCATGTGTAAAGTGCTTTTGTACAAGATTTCGAGATGAGGCTTTACCTTTTTTTCCCTAAAGCATATATCTTATACAAACTACATTACCATAAGTAAAACTACCCGAATCATCCAATTTTTTTGGATGAAATTTCAATAACGCCTAGGTTTTATGAAAACCAAATAAAGCCTCATCTCAAATCCTCGTCAGACAAGCATTTTCACCAAGATAAATCTTCACAATGGCTCTAAGATCAATTTTCAACACCGACAATAAATTTTGAAACTAAAAAAATGTACATATCCAGCAAATCTTTGAACGCTTACTTTTACAGCAAAATGGACGATTTAGATAATTTGTTAAAATATACATATTTTTTATTTTTTTAATTTTTTTTTACAATTATAATGTTCAAGTCGAGATGATAGATGTAAAATTTGACAGTTTTCCTTGTTATTTATTTATGAAGATGTTCATTTAAATCAAGACTGTTTAAGTGTTTTAAATAGAAGTTGTCACGCCATACAGTTTCTCTATTCCAATTAAATTTCAAAATTTCAAATAAAAAAAATTAAACATTTTCCCAATTAAGTGCAAAGTGTGGTCGTTCTAACGTACACTGTACTGGCCCATCTCGGTACGAGGGATATTCCAGCGCGTCAAACATTAACGCCACAGACAAAATAATATCTTGTGCAAATTGCACGATCGCAGTTGCAATTGGTCACAATCACTTACCGACTGCTGTTTAACACGCCGTTAACCCAACAAAAAAAACATGCATGTTGCCTCCAAAATCCAAAATTTTTCAGGCATCGGCAAGAATTTAACCGCCATCCTCTTTTTGCTCTGCTCCCCTCTCTCTCGTTTTCTGTTTTCACTTTCTCTGTTCTCCGTTTATATTTTGATGCGCATCTGCTATTTGGCAATGGATTTGGTGAATAATCTCTTCCCAATTTCTCGTGACCAGAGAGGAAGCTCATCCGCTTCAATCCCTTCCAATTCTCATGCGCCATAACCCTCCATTTCATCTTCTCTCGGAAGAGTTCTCATTCTCTCGTATTTGTTCAAGAATCTTCATATTCTCTCTTGCTCCCTCAGGTATCTCTCTCTTCATCAGGTATCTCCATACCTCTTTTCTCGCTTTCTAGGGCATCTTTTTTTTCACTTTTTTTTCTTCTCCAATCGTTCGAATGTCTTCTCTCTCTCTCTCTCTCTCTCCCTCTCCTGCAACTCAGGGTTTACTTCGGTCTTTGTTTTGAACGCTCCCTTGTAATGCGTTTTTGTAACTAAAGGCTAATTCTGCTTCGTGCTCCATGTTTGCAGTGTACCATGTTAGAAATCAAACTTAATTCTATATTAGTTTTGGTGGATTAGGATAAGTTTGGGATGTTTCTATTGGATTGAGATATGTAAGGTTTGGTGGATCAGGAGAAGTTAAGGAAATTTCTATGCCATTAGGTTTGCATAGGAGATGGAGTTTGAATGGGATGTGATAGTCCCTTCTACAGCTATAAATAGACACTGTAATCCTGCAGATTTTTTATTTATTTTTAGTTAGAAGAAAATTTTAGGGATTTTTTTTGAAGTGTTATCCTTCCTATGTCCTAGACCATATCTAGGTCTGCTTTGGGTTATTATGAACACAACCATAAATATTCAGAAACTATTTCTTTATATTTATTTAATTAGTCATAAATAATTTATGGTTTGTATTGAGATAGTTTGCTGATTGCCCTCATTGCTGCTTTTTAACATGGTCTCAAAACAAGGTTATTCAAGAGCAACGAAATTTTTGTCCGAGATCTGAGGCATGGTTTTCACATGATTTTTGACTTCATGCCGTTTGGATAGCAATAGGACAATCCTGGGTAGTGTGTTGTACTCTGCTACAAACTGTTTGATTGTCATGCTTATCCCTTCCAATAAAAAGACTTGGCAACTCGCTTGTATGATTTGAACAATGTTGTTATGTCCGGACTAGTGAACAAATCAGTGAGGGCACTGTTTTGGTTCACTGGTTGGACCGGTCTAAGAAATTAAATACTTAATAACAAATAGTAAAAAATAGGGAAATAATTGAAAAAGTAGAGAAAAATATGGAAAAAAAGGAAGAATCGAAAATATTAAGAAAAATTCAAAAGATATTAGAAACATAACTCCTCAAACAATAAGAAATACTGATTAATAATACAATAACTCAAACTTTAAAGAAGATACAAAACAAAAGGCTCATAATATGTTATTAAAAACATTTGAACTACAATCATAAGTAGGGAAAAAATAAGTATACCACCACAAGTCCACAACTCCAGGCCTTAAAAGCTTCTTACAATTAGAATATTGCAAAACCAAGTGATATAACAAAACTGTAAAAAATAATTAAGTCTTTTTCATCAACTTCATTTCTATTTCTTTGCTCATCATTGGGCTCTTTAGTGTTGACCTCCAAATCATCATCATCTACACCTACGAGAATATTAGGATACAGACTTGCATCCCTAGTGTGCATAAAACCTTAAAACATATAATTATTAAATCAAAATTTTACCCTCTTATGGTGGTTCCATCTAGTTGAGAAAAGGCTTTGACGACGATGATGGTGGTTCCATCTCTATCCAATTATCTAGATGCTCTTTAACACCTTCAAGAGCGAGCCTCTCTTTCTCGACAACCCACTGTTCCACAATATGGATCCTCTCTAAGTCAATTTGGCTTAAGGCATTGGTTTCCTTCTGTTCCTACAATATCATTTTGCAAAGATTAAAGATAAATTGAAGTAATTCTAGAACTTTATAATTAAGACACATAATGAAAAAAAGAAAGGACACAAGAGTTTATTACTTCTCTTGAAAGCTCAAGTTGTATTTTACAAAAACGAAGTCATTTAGAGTCTTGTGTTGAAACCTATTTTACTTATCAGTGTGGATGCGTTGGAAGACACTCCAATTCCTCTCACATCCACTTGCACTGCAAGTTTGATTTAGAATACAAATTGACAAATTCCTAAGGTTGGGAACTTCTCCACCAAATTGTTCCCACCAAGCCCTTGAAATTGATATTAAATGACAGAGATTAGAGAACTAGAAATACATAAGAAAAAAAGCATTACGTTATAATTAATAACGACTTCATAAAATGGATTACCAGGGAGGATTGTACCATTCAAGGTAATTGCTAAAGATCTCCCAAATACTGGTGATGCGTTTTGATTTTGTCACAACTCTCTTTGATCTTCACTTGCATATGTGTTTCAGGGTATAAGTTCTCCACCATGGTCTGCAAGTCCCCTCAAAACCGTAGGATGGGTTGATGTGTGCTTGTTGTAGAAGAATTGGGGGCTAAGATAATATCTAGCTGCATGTCTAGGGCGATGTTACTGCCCTTCCCATTTTTTGTCAATTATGTCCCAGTATTTCTCGTGTCGGGTCCTCCTTTGCTTACAAGCTATATCTGCCCTATCCATGGTCTCATATGTGTACTCCATGGCATGCCTAGAATGACTATCTTCTCAAAAACTTTACATGGGCTTTGTAATTTGAATTACATTTTTAATACTAGTCTAAAAATGATTACTTAAAACCCAATCCGCCATCTCCTTCCCACTAGTCTTCTTGGTCCATATAGAATTCTTTCATGTTGCTGACATGACTATGGCTCTCAGGCCATTCATTTGATTCGACAGGCTCTGTAATGTGAGGCAATTAGTAGCAAATCTAGTTATTGTCGGCATCACTCACTCATTATTATTTGCATAATTCCTCATAAGATTGAGACAAATGAGTGGATGTAGATAAAATTTGTAATATCCTTTGCATTATCTACAATTTGTTTAACATAATCCATCTTTCCTATATCATCTAGCATAAGTCTATAAAATGGGCTGCACAAGAGGTCTGAAAGAGGGATAATGAGCTTGTAGCAATGGCCCCCAAAAGGAGTACTTGGTGGCATTTTCTATAATAAACTGAATCACCTTCTTTGGCTCCACTTCCTCAACAACATCCTTAAATAACTTGAGTAATTCTTACGCAGTCTTGATTACATTGAGGCATCTACCAACCTCAAGCAAACTATTCCCTTGTGACAATATTCCAAAAAAGTAATTAATTGCATATCTTTTTTATCTTTCTATCCATCAACCATGATAGGACATCCATATGTCTTCCATAGTGCCCTATATTTGGTTGTGAACACTTTAACCTCTTCCATAATATAGGAAGGGCCTTTATATCCCATGCCTACAGATGCCTTTGTATCCAACATATGCTGGTAATAAACGGAGTTGAGGACATTGAAAGAGATAATAGAATGATACATCCACTGGACTATAGACAAATTCACTCTCTCTTTGGCTTGCTTCCCAACCAATATATTTTTGATGGTTGGCTGGGAGCCTGGTGTTGTCCTCGATGGGAAATAAGCCCCTATCCTACCTTGACCTTGCCTCCTTAGCTTGCAAGTCGCAGTAGCAGTAGAAGTTGTGGTGGCAGGCACTTTCCCAAGTCTCCTTCTAGTTTGAGGGAGATTCTTAGCCTCCTCTTCTCCTTAATACCAAATACTTCTCGTTGGGGTAGGATTAGGTTTCCTTATCTTGTCATCAATTGTTTGCCTCTTTTGCTTCTCAGTTATGTGATGTTCAATGCTTTTTTGTATCTCAATACATCAAATGCGAGAAAACTTTGAGGCATTTGGCCATGTTCCTAGTCTTTTGGGCTAAATGCTCCTTAATCCAATGTATTCCCCCACTTTTTATTGGCTTTAAACAATGTATGCAAAGAGTTTCCTACTTATCTCCCTAATGTTCTCTTCTTACATGGCACCATGGCGGGTCCGTTCTTCCTCTATGAGACCCACTTGAAGACTTTTTTTTTTCTCCAATTCAAATATCAAAGTCTCAAGTCTCAACCACAAATAGGTAATAAGAATCTCTTACAAATTAAAAACTATACCAGAATGCATAAATCTTGCATCATTTCCATACTCACGATGCACACTTCACAATATGTGGAAATTTCATTAAAAAATAAATGATCAGATTTTTTTTAAAAAAATTACAAGAAAATGTAAGGTAAGGTAAAAAAGGCAAAAAAATTGAAAAAACAAAAAAAATCTTTGTATGCTTTGCACTTTTTTTTTTACTTTTCTTTCGTTTTGGTTTTTCTTTCTTTTTGTGTATTGCATTTTTCAAATTTTATTCTTTCCTTTTTGGCATTGTACGAAACAATGTTTTTCATTCTCTTGTTGTTTAGAAATTCAAACATGTAAAGATGAAAACATAAATTTAAAAAAAAAAAGAAAAAGAGAATATTCATGATTTTTTTTTTCATTTTATTTTTTATTTCTGTTATCCTTTTTTGTTTTTGCATTTCTATTTTTATTTTTTTGCATTTTTGAAACCAAAATAGAAAAAGAGTTGCAAACAAAACAATGCCACAACCATATTTCTGTTTTTTTGAGGATTTTCGGTTTTTTCTTTTTGGCATTTGCCAGGATAATTTTTTTATTCTCTGATCTTTTAGAATCTGAAAC